TTTTTAAAGAAGTCACAATTCTGTCATTCGTGTATATATATTTTTGCATTAATTTTTTTAGTTTATTCGGTAATCACAATCTTAATTACGCATCAATTCTATGTTTCGTCAACGCATAGCTAAAGTTATCCAATCAGACAAGCGGTTGTGTCATTGGGAAACGTAGGCAGAAAGTTCACTGACATTAATTACTTCATAAGATCGAAAGATAAAAAATATTTTTTAATGAATTTTTTTTGCTAAAATAAACTTTTTCCCCACCCTTTACTCTAAAATAACTTATCAATTCATTTAATTTACTTTATTATTGAGTGAAAAATTTGCATCATGATATTGCAAATAATACACCTAAGAGTAATTTAAAAATGAATAATTTTTTGTTCAATTATTTACAGATATAACAAAGAAATTTCACCTACATTTATATCAAGGGTAATTTATTTACTTTTAGGGTAAAAATTTATTATTTTACAACGCGTAAAAGATAACGAAGACGGGGTTCAGAGAGTAAAAAATAAACTACAGCGACGTAAACTACGGTTTCGTTTTTTTACGAGCACATAAATTAAAGACATAAAACCTACACTAAATATTTGAGATTTATATATGTTGAAAAAAAAAATTTTTTTTACAAGACACATAATTTAATAGTTTTAAAATGTTTTTTTTCTGGATACGTAACAATTTACAACGAGTAAAATTTCTACCACAATGTATGAAAATCATAAGGATATATTATTTAATAAAAATGTTTTTAAGTAATAGCAATCTTTAATATTAAATTTAAGGAGCTTTTATTTTTCCACACAATTTTTGAGATCAGTATTTCATCATAAATATTTTGATTGAATTTTAATGTTTGCAAAAGTACTTTATAAGTACTGTGACATTTTTAAAGTTACGCTCAGAGGCTAAGTTGGACATTTTGGTACATTTAAGGTAAGTAACTGGTAGAGAAAAATATTTTGAACCATACAAAATGTGTCATTTTCACCGATATTAACACTTTCAATCATTTATTTATAAAAAGTACATGTCAATGTTATTTAATAATAGTCATCATTCATGTTAATATTTAGACGTTTAATTTTTATAACTATTTCAGTATGCAACGCTCATCTCCCCACATCTTTCGGCAAGCATGCACAATTTTTTACGGTATTTGCGTATTATCCCGTCGACCATTTTCGCCAACATCGCACCAGAGTCATTTTGGTATTTTTTAAATCTATTATATAATAGTAATTAATAGTAAGAAATTCACAAAATACAAATATAACTTATAGCAAAAAAATGAGTTATTTAAATTTGAACAATTTCAAAATTTATTTTCAAATTTAGCGAAAATGGTTGACGGGATAGTACTAATTCTACTTATTCAAAAATTTCGAAATTATGCATGTTATTAATATTTGCAAGAAAAAACATTACTTCCGAAGTATCAACTCCAAGTGTTTCACAGAATTAATTACTATGTTACAGTTTAATTTTTTTAATCACAATTTTAATTTAGACGAAGCTTAAAAAAAAATAGGTACTTTTTTGTTAGCTGAGCGCAAGCGAAAAGTTGCCCAAAATATGCAATCTTCCGTCAACTTTTTTTTAAATATTTTTTTAAAATTTTATCTATTTTTTAAACACGCAAAAATAAAGTAAAATAATAATGAAAACAAAAATATTTCACTTTCTTGCACCGAAAAGTACCGAAAAATAATCAATTACTTCATAATTTTTCGATTTATTTTACCTTTATGTAAATTTTTTTATATATGTATATATATATATATCCTGAGCCATTAAGTTCGACTTTTCAAATTTAATCATATCGTATTACACTAGTTTTATTCGATTTTACATAATACACATGATGCATTTTATATAATATAGATAATACATATGATAGACATAATAGTATTAAACAAATGTCGGTTAACTATATTAAAGTATTTTATTAAAATAAATGCGGTGAACTAGCAGGTGGCAGAACTGCCTAGTTATTTTATAAAATAATTTTTTTAAAAATTCTTGCAATGAATTTTTTCCTTTTCTTTCAAGAACATAAATAATGCTAAAATAAAAAGGGCACCTTAAAAAGGTGCCCTTTTTGTTATAAACTTTTACCCGTTATTTATCAAATTAATTATGCATCACATTTCAATAACTTTGGCATCACAATAATAGCTAGGTATCTATTGAAGAAATGTATTATGTTATTTTCAAGTACGAATATTTTAGTCATCTGTATTTTATTGCAAAGAAGAGAATTAAAAGTCTACAAACATTTAGGCTTTCAAAATTTCTTCAAATGGCGTCTTTTAAGACGTTGCCAACGAGAAAAAGACGAAAACTGTATTAATTAATTATCTGCTCTGGGACTTGAATTTCATTCATTGGATTATTTCTGTGCAATGCTCAAAGTTCTTTGGCTCAACTTATGTTTTATGCATTGCAATTCGAAAAGAAGTGAAGTGATTATGCCTAACCATGTGACTTAATTAAATCAGATTTAATTGGATACCTGTAAGCGTTGGTACGTGTGTGTGTTGAACTTGATTGGCTTCTGTATCGGCAAATGCCACGATTTACCTATGATGATGTTCTAGCAGACATCCAATTGTATAAATTTTCGTTTTCTTTTTATTTATTTATTTTATTTTATTTTTTATGTAATTGAGGCATTGTTATACGAATGGGAAAGAAACAAATTTGGCCTCTTTTCGGTGGCTGTGTTTGACTAACATTTGAATTGTATATTTACAAAAACTACAATCCGCTCTTTTGGATGTATAGCATCAATTTTGTTTTTCAGCAAAACTATATTTTGTATAATTTTAATAATATTTGGCTTTCATTTTTTTATTTTCTCATTTTCTGTTATACCTGCAGTAGTTATGAAATTTTTTCAGAAAGAAGATGGTTTTGTCGATTATAATGTATATGAATATTATCATATAAATATTTATATTAAATAAGTCAAGGCACGGTTAGGTTTTGTTTAAAGCTAAACCGGTAGGCTACTTAAGGCCTATGATAGGCTACATAAAGAAAAATTTACTATGCATTAAAAAATGTGTACTACCACTTATTTCATGCACAAGGTGTTTTTCAAACATAGACCACTTTCTGTGACAGGATGTAAATGAGTTAACCTTAAAAACAAAGCTTTTTTTTTTATTTCTAATGCAAGGTCGTCAGATTTTTCGCATTTCAACTATACATTTACAGCATAATATGTGTATAGTGTCAATTAAAACATTGAAAATTTATGAATATATTAAAATATTTTGCAATTATTCGTAATTAAAAATGTCCCTTATGCTACAGTTTTTTTTTAAAAACAACTTCAATTTTTTTTTATAAAAAAATTTGGTCACAAATATACTTAAGATGTCTTGACCAAATAAATTTTAACAAAAACGTTTTTAAATATAGAGAGGGTTAGCCAAGAAATAATAATAATAATTAAAAAAAAATCTTGGCAAAGCAAAAATACTAGTACGCAAAGTTATTTCCAAACAGTTCTTTTCCAATTTTATGCTCATTATTTTATTGCATATGTTGATGGGGCAAAATTTTACATAATGCTTATAATAAAAGTAAATACAACATTTTTTCTATTTCAATAATTTTAAAATGGTTAATAATTCATGCACAAGCTTAAATATGTTTATTATTAAATGTCATTTTATAAGGGTTTTTTTATAATGAAGGAGCACCAATTTTAGTTCTTAACCATTCATTAGGAATAGTAATCAAATTCAAAAAGATAATAACAGAGAATGATACTAAGACAGGATAAATAATTCAGTCAAAAAACGATAAATATGGGAGTTAATTTAATTTTTATAATTTTTTTGGAGCTACTAGTCAAATTCAAAAGCATAATAACAGAGAATGATATTTAGAAGGAATAAATATTTCAGGTAAAGAACGTTAAATACGAGACACTGAAATATTTTACAGGTAAAAATTACTTTTATAGGTTTCATTTTAATTCTTAATTAATTAATTTCATTTATTAATTAATTTCATTAATTCTGATGATAACGAAAGAAATCTGGATTTGTTTTGTTAATTAAGTATTCAATTATATGAATTTCCTATCTAATAAGAAAGCATGGACACATACATACCTTTCAACATTTGATGTTTATGCGAAATATATCTTTTAGCAGAAGTGAATTAAAGTCAAATTTTTTAAAACAAACCTTTTTATGATCATTTGCTAATGTGACTCCTCGCTTAAATTTTTTGGCGCTCTAATAGAAAGCGAAAATATATTTTGGTATTTTTTAATTATAAAAACAGTCTAAGTTACTAAAAAATCTGTTAGATTATCGATGTTATATTTGTACTGAAATGTAAGATCCAAGAAAGAAATTAAATTTTTTTTTTTCATTCCTATTCAAATTGACAAATAAAATTGATTTTATTTGACAAATTGATTTCATGAATTAAAGATGAATTGATTTTGTGAATTAAAGAAATTTCAATGATGAATAACTGTTTCTTTTCAATCTAAATAGCTGCAACTGAGTGCGAATTTGAAGAATAAGTGTTTGGAAGTGAGCCATGTTTGGAAGATTTTACCTTTAACGCAGAAAAAGACATCAGTGTCTCAAGTAATATTTCATAATTAACAATTATTAAAATACTAATCATAAATTTTTTTACTTATTTTGACAGAAAATAAATCCAAATACTGAAAAAAAGCATGAACAATGTGTTAAATAATATCCTCAAAATCTTTCGTATAATAATATCAAAATCCCATATAATCCAAATCTTTAAATTCATCATATTATCAGTCCTTATTATTACTTCTTATGATCGTTCTCTAGTTTCCATTCAAGTTGAACTATTATATCTTGTAATCGAGTTTAAGTGGTCAAATTATATGATTCAATTTAGTACATATTAAGTCTACAACGAATTTGATTTAGATCACGGCTCAAAGCGCTCCAAATTATCTAACAGTAGATATGCATTTAAAGACTTACTTCTAAAGTAAAGTTATCCACGTTTTGGCTTCCCGTCTTTGGTTTGGAGGAGGGAATGAGAGCTTTGGGTCTACAACCACCGTAAATTTGAGATTGCTGTTGAGGACCTTCGACCTCCGGATCTCGGAATGAGAGTCTTTTCTTTTGTTTCTGCTGCTGCTGTTTTATTTGTTTATCCTGTAGAGTGAATTTAAGTCCAGTTCTATTCATCTCTTAAGTGAAGTGTTCCTGAAGGGCAAGTGCCTGCTTCACATGGCCACCTCTTGGGCCAGCGTGCAGCAGTAAGGGACAGGTGGAATGGTTCACGATTTCGTGTGGCTTATCTCTACTTCTTCTCCGGTTAAACGGACCTTGCCGATCCATCGAGGTATGGACAGGTTGATCAGCACAGGTGAGTTCGTTTAGTTAAGGGATGAAGCTTCAGCATGATGCTTGAAGAAATTGTTGATTCTGAAAAATGGAAGAACTATATTAATGATTTTAACAAAAATAATTTATTTGATATAGAAAGCTATACATATACATACATTCATACATAAGTTATAATCAGCATGGGGCGTAAAGTAATTGTTAATTCGGAAAATGGTAGAACTATATCTGCGATTTTAAGACATATAATTTATTTGACATAGAAGACGTTACATATGCAAGTTTCAATCAGTATGGTGTTGACGTAATTGTTGATTCGAAAATAGAAGAACTAAGTCAAGGGTTTTAAGAAAAATAATTTATTTGACATAGAAGACGTTAAATATGCATACATTAATACATAAGTTATAGTCAGCATGGTGCGTAAAGTAATTGTTTATTTAGAAAATGATAGAACTATGTTGATTATTTTAAGAGAAATAATTTATTTGATAGAGAAAACGATACATACGACAAAAATGCTAATTGTTAATGATTTTAAGAAAAATAATTTAGTTTACATAGAAGACGATACATATGCTTAAGTTCATATGTAGGTTTTAATCAGCATGGTGCTTGACGTAATTGTTGATTCGGAAAATAGAAGAACTAAGTCTATGGTTTTAAAAAAAATAACTTGCTTGAGAGATAATACATATGCATAAATACATATCTGAGTGGTGCTTGACGTAATTTTTGTTTCGAAAAATAGAGAAGAACTTTATCAATGATTTTAATAAAAATAATTTATTTGACATAGAAGACGATACATATGCATAAATTCATATGAATTTTTTTATCAGTATGATGAGCGAAGTAATTATTAATTCGAAAAATCGTGCAGCTATGTCAATGATTTTGACAGAAACAATTTATTTGACTTAGCGATATATATGCATAAATTCATATGTAAAATATTATCAGCATGGTTCTCGATGTAGTTGTTGATTCGGTAAATTGAACTATATCAATAATTTTGAAAAAAAAAATTTATTTTACATTGACGATATATATCCATAAATTATGTGTCAAATATTTTCAGCATGGTGCTTGACGTTATAGTGGATTCGGAAAATAAAAGAACTACATCAATGATTTTAAGAAAAATAATTTCGTTGGCATAAACGATATACATGCATAAATTCACATGTAAACTATAATCAGCCTGGTGGTTGACGTAATTGTTGATTCGGAAAATAGAAGAACTATATTAATGGCTTTAAGAAAAACAATTTATTTAATAGAGAAGAAGGTATTTGCATAAATTTAAATACACTATTAATGATTTTGATACTTCTACTCCAACATGCGTCAATCAAATCTTCAATTTCCGAATTTGCATTTTGTAGGAATTTTTATTTGGATGGAAAATGCTATGATGGAACTTTGGAAAATGCTTTGTATTAAAAAAAAATAATCTGTTTTCAAAACATTTGAATTCTACACAAAATCGTGTATTTATATCAGAAAGAGAAGGAAGGACCGTAGATGAAAATTGATTAAACTTTTTAGTTTGTTTACGAACGGCATCGTTAGAACGGTTTGGAGTGGGCTCCAAAAGATCCGTGTCAGGGAACTGACCCAATGTCTGACAAAAAGACAAGCGATTAAACAAAAATAAAGACACAAAATATTTACAATGAAACTAACTAGATCAAAGCTTCTCACACATGACTTTTTAAAATTTAAATGTAAACTAAATTTAGAAAATATAAACTAAATTTTAAAGAAATTATGTGGCTTGCTAACATTTCACAATATAAATTAAGTATAAAAGTAGAATTTAATAATACAAAAGTTGGATGCAATTCTAGTGCGTTAAACGGAACCGTTATACAATTAATCGTGCATCGCAAATCGCAACGAACAATTTGTTGGAATCCTAACCAACCATTAAAATGAACCATATTTTAAGTGAAAATGAAAAATTATATTGTTCAAATCAAGCACGTAGTAAAGATAGCAGAAAATTCGCATATTATAATTCTATATATATAGCCAACGCGGGATCTGATACTTCGACTTCTTTTAGATTCTGAAATTTATTCAATAAATCAAGATTAAACGTGGACTTATATTGTCATGATCATTTAACGAAAATTTGTAAAGGCTTGTTTTTTCTTTAGATATCAAGCATCGATAGTTCTTTTGTATTAAAACCTAAAATGAAATTTCAGTTCTAAAGTACTGGGTAAAATAAAACTTTACTGAGAAATGAAAACATATTTCAAAATGTTAACAGATGTAAACAAAACTATAAAAGAACGTGGAAAATGAAAATTTGAAACCATTATTTATTGCTAAAAAATCACTGATATCGCTCGATATTTAAAAATAGTGACACGTGGACGCCGCTGCTTTAAGTGTTCACCTTAGCGTTGCACTTTGCTCAACGGCTGCGAAAACTACAAGATTTAGTAACTTGAAATTACTAGGGTGTGTAGAAAATAGTACAGGGATTAAGATGGAATAAAAAAATTAACATCCGACTATTAGTTCGAGAATTACTAACTGTTAAACTTATTGGAAAAAAAACTATACGGGAGGCTGCTCTAAAGGCCACAGGAATGCAACTACTGACTAGGGAAACTAGGGAAGTGTGACTCACAAATTTTGAAATAAACTAGTGGGGTGTCTGCCTTATGAAGAATAATTTTAGGGGGCAACATTCGTTTCGGCCCATAGAAGGTCCTATAAGAGATAAAAATAATTCTATAGATAGAAAAATCGGTATTTTATTACTTCAATGCAGACTATTAGTTATTGTAACTGTTTCATTCTCCAATTAATTTGTAATTAATTGGTTAATTAATTAATTTGCTAATTAATCAATTAATTAGAAAATTAATTAATTAATAATTATTAGTTAATTGGTTTGCAATTACATACTCCAATTAATTTGGAAAATTTTTNTTTACTTTTGTTTTGGTAGTTAGTTAAAAATAATTTAAAGACAGAATTAAAAATACTCAATATACATTACTGTTGCATACATTTTACTGCAAGTGGGGGGCGCGATGAAAATTATGATTGAAAACTGGGCCGCGAATACTGAAAGGTTGAGAAACGCTGAACTACAGAGTTAAAATTTGGCATGCTGATAAGGCCATATATGTTAATGAACATAACACAGAGGTTTTTTCGGTGTCCCAATTTGTTTGATAGTTATTGCTATATTAAGTAATTTTTTGTGAGTTTGTTCTCAATTATTTCTATTTTACAGTTACATTTTGTGCTTTGCTGAAAATCTCTAATGCTTAGAAACTTGAAATTACGTAGGACTATTTTGAATTATAGCATTAGCGAGAAGTTTTTTTTTTCTCCCAAAATTCCGATTTGTTAGAAAGTTATTGCAATTTCAACTGCTCTTTCGCATTTCTCTTCCTTAGAGGAATAATTATTTACTTAATGCCGTAGAAAAATTCTCTCTCTCGCAAATTTTATTTTAAAGCTAGTCCTTTACTCACTTGGTAACAAAAGTAACAAAAAGGAATTAATAAAAAATAAGAAAGGTTAGATGTTCGTCAGTTATAAATCTTAATATTTGTATCAAAATTTTTAAAACTATAAAGACTGAAGAGATATAACTGTTTCCAACGCGAATTGTTTGTTATATGATATTTACCTTACTCCTGACTGAGGTTCTCTCCATTAACAGCAGATGGCAGAGGCGCTTATAACTTCCTCTTGATGATACGAATGCATTGATTTACACTAATCTGAGCGGCTATGACGTCATAGGAGGATTGCAAGACTTCCGGTTTTATTTTGTTTTAAATTTTTCTTAGGAAACTGAATGAATAAAGTTTTCGTTTTATATTGTCAATAAGTAAAATTACTTCTTATTTATTACTGCTTATTCTGTCACATATTCTGTATTAAGTTTATTTATTTTGCACGTACATTTGATTATTTTTCAAAACCAGGTATCCTTTCATTTCGTTACGATTAACAACTTAATAAAACGCGCTTACATAAAATTATAAATATTATACATTTTCTTAACAAAATGATAATTTTTTAAACAGAATTTTAAGAAAAAATACTTTTGAGAAGATCAAGGGAGGAGAGCAGTTTATTTCCATTAAAGCTGATTCTGAGAAAAAAACGAATTTGCACACAAACAGGAACCATTTTTCCACAGCATGGCCTATCTTCATGCAGTAATAACTCTCGGGAAGGTGAGGGTACCGATTTTCCATATAGTTGATTTGCCAAAATTAAGTCCTCAAAATGCAACAAATGACAATACAAAAGTAATTTTTTGTAAAAAACGGGCTTAAACTGTTCCTCCTCCTTGATCTTCAATGATAAATGAAGAGCAACCACGGGGGTTGGAGAGCGAAGCGAACAGGATGCGGTGCCTTCTAGTTAGTTTAAAAAAGTTTCAATTGTTCTAATCTAATCCATATATCATTAAAACTCAATAAACTACAAAAAATATTAGAAACTTTAGACATCAGAAATGTCCCGGTACTTTTAACACTTCTTATTAGTGAACCGTTGCCTTTTGACACTAAAATACTGCAAGTCAACATCAAACCTAACATTAAATAGTGTGCGTGTGCGTAGGGGGTGCAATATATAGAAATTCTGAACAAATCATCAAGTGTCTCAACTTTCAAAGAGTTTCTGCAAATTGCCTTCAGTCTACTGCAACAGCTGAAGCCTCTCTCGTAAGAATCTGCGATCACGGGAAGAATAGCGCGAAAATGATATGATCTGCAGCATATTCGAGAATCTCGCCGAACATTCTTCATTGTTAAAATTTTCCAGGATCTGAGTCAATGTTAATGGAGAAAACATAAACTTGAATTTTGTTTACTCAACTAATACGATATCCACTTGTTCGTTAAATATATTTGGGTTTAAATAGATGGAATTTTGTAGAAGATCCTAATAGATGGAAATAGTCGGGGGGAAACCCAAACTCAAGAATATTTTTTTTTCTGCAAAACCAACCCAAGGCGTTACAAACATGCAAAGAAGTTAACATATCTGTAGATTGCAGTTTTTCTGTATTGCACATTTTTTCGTATTTG